ATCTTGAATACATATTAAAAAAGAAAAGGTTTAAAGGTTTACATATATGATTTTAATTTTGTAATGTTCTGCAAAAAATAAAAGCTACAAAGACAGTTTTTGAAATTTCAGTAGTTTCTAGAGGTTCAGAGGAAGGAGGCTCACTGCCTTCACGAGAAAGAGACTTTTAGGGTATTTGAACAAGGCTGTATGATGTTACATTGAGGAGCATACAACATATCACCTCCATAAAGAGGCCAATTTGCCAGAGAGATGGTTCAGTGCGTAAAGGTGTTTGCCTCTAAGCCTGATGACCGGAGTTTAATCCCTAAGACCAAGTGGTTGAAGGAGAGAATAGACTTCCACAAATTGCCCTCAGATCTCCACATGCATACAGTGTTCTGTGTACATAATGTGAACATGCATGCACATGTACACATACACACAAATAATAGGTGTAATAAAAATTCCTTAAAAAATAGTTTTGTTAAATTTTGTTGTTTCTTTACCATTAAGAGAAGAAAAAGAATGTCTGTTTATAACTTCATATAATCAGCCCTCATGTTCACAAGGTCCCATGCCCAAGGATTCAATCAATGTTAGATAAAAAATGGGTTTTTTTTTTTGTTTTTTTTTTTTTAGAAAACAGTGTCTGTACTGGATACTTACATTTTTTTTCCTGGTCATTCTCTAAATAATACAGTTTAATACATATAACATAGTATTTTCATTTTATTATAAGAAATCTAGAGATGGTTAATGTGTGAGAGGTATGCATAGGTTATATGCAATTGCTATGCCATTTTTATAAAGAAGTTGGGCACCTGAGGGTTTGGGTATGGGGAGAAGGTCCTTGGGCTAGTCCTCTTGAATCAAGGGACAACTGATCTGCATTGATTTTTTCCTGTCATGGAGAAAATCCAGTTTGGTCAGACTTCAATTTAATCAGTCTCTACTTATAATTTTACATAATAGGTAACTGATAGTTATGAAATTTTTTGACAAACTGGCATCTGGTTCCATGAATTTCAAGCGTATCTCTTGTACATAAACATCTGGTACCAGGTCCATGGAACACGGTTCTACTGTGATATAGCATCTGGTCATGCACCATTGAGTCATAATGTGCTAGTGAGTTGACACAGTGGTCATTGTGTCACTGGAAATCATCCCTATATCAGAACGACTACTGATAGATGGGTGTGGCTGCAATTTTACAAAAATATGTGACCACGTGAACAGACTGTGAGGTCCACTCTCGGAGCCTATGAAGCAGATGCATAAGATCAGACATTAAGACAAGAGTAAAAATAAAGTGATACAATCCAGGCACAGAAACTGCCAAGAAAGTGACTGAAAAAAGTCTGTTAATACACATGAGGAATAATGAGTGACATTGAATGTCACCTGGTAACAGGAGGTTCAAATCAAAGACCGGAATACATGACCTAGAAGTGGCAATGAGGAGTGAGAACCATCTTCAGACCCTGTGACAGTTGGTGGGGGGTTTGGAGGGTGTGAGGGTGAAAAGGCTGATATGTCTTCACAAGGAGCTACATTTAATTTTGAGGTAATGAAGGGCAGGTTTGGAGGGGAGGGTATGCTGTATCGTGCTAAGCATGGGCCGAATGTCAAAGGACACACATTATGTTACACCCTTAATGCATACCTATAATTTCCTGCCTGTTACCGGGTAGTGGAGGAAGGTTTATCTGAGCTAACGAATATTTTTCTAAGTAGAAAAGTCAAAGTACAGACTGATACTACATTTAGATTTATATATACTTTATACATGCAAAAAATACTCTAAAAGTTAGCAAGATGTAGTTAGAAGTGATGCTTCAGCATAAGCAACTCTTCTGTTGAAGGACAACTTTGATCTGTACTTTACGGCTACATAGGAGTTCAGTTTTGTGGTGCTTCTATGTGACATTGCAGTTATACCTGAATAAAGAAATAGCCTGATTCTGAGCTTTTAGTTTTAAGGCCAAGAGTGGACTTGAGAACCACTTATTCCTTCACATATCTCATGGAACTAACTGTGCTTCCAAGAGACCTCAATCATACTTTTATTGAAGCAGTCTTTCCAACATCAGTTGATGAAGTAGAAGCTAGCATCGGCCCTTATCTGAGAATCCTGCCCTTTGAGGTCTAGAATATCACATACAATATCAAGCAGATTTCTCAATTACTCTCACAGTGATGAGAATGATGGGCTCTTTCAAGCACTTTGATATGCTAAAGAAGCACACCCACATTCATTCACTATCTTGGGTAGAGGGTAAGGTGGGGTCCTGAGAGATTAGGGTCAGGTGGCCAGGTTATTCCTACACAGGGCTCAGTGAGCCTGTTTACATTATAAACAGTAGCTTTTTGGTGTAAGTTTAAATAAAAGTCATTTATTCAGAGTCTGTCCATATTGTCCTACAGGTATACTATCATGCCTACTTTTATGTCCATTTAAAATTGTTCAAATAACTTTTATCAAACAGTGCAATAGGTGACACATACTTAGTCAAATTTGTTTCAATTACACAATTACTTGCACTAAATTTGAGGGGTGTGGAGGTATAAGGATTCATGGCTTTAGCTTTCATGTTATTTGTCTTTAAGGAGAAGACAGATAATCAGCAAGACAAACTTCTTCAAAATATATGGGATGCATTGAAGGACTAGTGAGCCATATTGGAGTTTGGGTTTTAGCTTGAAAATAATGTGAAGCCATTTAAGTGTTTTCACCAGAGAAAAATATCACCAGATTTCTCTGCATAATTCACCGTAACATGAAGGGATAGAAAAACACCTAAAGTGCATAAGTGTAATCAGATGACTGTTAAGTCATTTAGGTTAGTATTAGAAGTTTGAATTGTAAAGGCTAGAAAGAGGAGGGAGAATAGCAAATAACTGAAAGGACATGAAAGGTGAACAAGGGGATTGTCATAAAGCTGCTGAGTATGGTCTGTATTAGTTACTTTTCTCATTGCTGTGACAAAATACTTAGTGAAAGCAACTTGAGGAAAAAGGGGTTATTTTGCTCACAGTTCAGAGAAATACAGTACATTGTGGCTGAGAAGGCATGGTGGGAGAAGCCTGTGCTGGTATGTCACATTGTGTCCTCAGTAAATAAGCAGAGAGCAATGAACGTTAGAGCTCAACTGAATTTCTCCTTTTAACTCAGTCTGTCTGCCAGCCTACAGAATGTCCTGCCCACCATCCATGGAGGTTGGTCTTTCCTGCTCAGTTGGATCTTTCTGGAAACACCTTTGGAGATACACCCAGAGATACACCCCCTGTTGATTCTAGGAGAATGAAGATTAATGAAGAGTAACCATGATAGTTCCTCCCCTTACCAATTTGATACCCAAACATATCACTTTAAATCATGGCATTCTACCCCTGGCCCCTAAAACCTCAAGTTCATCTCATAATGCAATATGCATGTAGTTCATTTCTAAAACTCCCCAAAGTCTTAACAGCACCAATATTATGCAAAAGTTCGAAGTCTAAAGTATCTTCTGAGAGTTAAGACAAATTCTTAATTGTAAAATCAAAACACAAGCTACATAATTCCAACATACAGTGGAATAGTAAAATATTTCCCATTCTGAAAGTGAGGGATGAGGCAAAGGAAGGAAAGGTTGGGCCAGAGCAAGAACAAGCCTCAGCTGACAAACACCAAACACTGAAGCTTCATGTCTGGCATCTAGGACTCATGATGCAATCATCCAGACTCTAGAGCTTTAGTCCCGCCTCTTCAGTTCTATTACCTATAGTGCACCTAGACTCTCTCCTGAGAGCTCCACTCCATGCCAGCAACTTCACTCACCATACATCTCTCCATCATCACATTTCCAATATCCTGGGGTCTCCATCTTGGGCCTCATCTTCACAGTTTCATTGGGCTGCCTCTCAGAGCCTGCTTACATGGAACCTGAAACTGCCACTTATTGGCTGGCCCCAGCTTTCTGGAACTCTGGTAAAAGTCTCCATAACTTTATAATTCTTATTTTGTATTCCTGCAAACCAGCACCATGTGGATGCTGCTGCCATATTCTGCAGCCAGCTTGAGGGGGGGTCTTACCCCCTTCTACCACAGCTGTAGTAGCCACTGTGTGCTATATCTGATGAGCCAAGTATAGTCAACCTCCATTCATAAATGTTATCTCCTTTAGGCCCAGCACTGCTGTTAGAAGGGGGATCAAGGATAATTTCAGCTGGCTCAATCTGGGAAAACACTCTCCTGGGCAGTTGTTTGAGTGCACAAAACCCCTTCAGTGGCATTCTCATTTCAAGTTCTCTTCTTTCAAGTGAATTTACATTTACAACTTGGAGCCTTTGATGGGTGTGGTTTTACCCCCATGACGCCTTTCCTGTTACCTCAGCGCATGCAGGTTTTCTCTTTAATGGCACTAAATCTCCAATAACTACAGTTTCTTTCTCCACACCTACCTTGGCTGCATCTCTACATTAATTCACACTGTACTCCTCACAAAGTGTACATTTTTAATATCTTTCTGATCTCTTTCACTGTAGAGTTGACTAAGAATAGTAATAAGTAACCAGATTGTCAGAATATAACACAGATGTCCTGTACCCTAGTCCCTGATAGTCCTTATCTCCCTCCGAAATCTCATAAACTGTGCCTCTATTATCTGTATTTCTTTCAGCCTTCTGGTATTACAAATTCCCATCAGAATGAGCCATTAAGTTCAGCTGATCGCACCCTAGGGCTTCTATAACTCATACCTCCAAACGGTTCAACATTTTTCCCATAAATCATATCAAAAAGCCTAAGAATTGGCAGGGCGTAGTGGTGCACGCCTTTAGTCCCAGCACTTGGGAGGCAAAGGCAGGCAGATTTTTGTGAGTTCAAGTCCAGCCTGGTCTACACAGTGAATTCAGGTGAGCTGGGACTACAGGGAGACTCTGTTTCAAAACAACAACAACAACAACAAAAAAGCCCAAGAATCAGTTATGTTTATCACAACAATGACACTGCTTATTTTTTTTTTAATGCCTTCAGGAACATATTTATTGTGTTTGAGATGATACATCAGTGTTCTCTGAGCTACACAGGGTAAAAGAAAATTCTCTCATTACAAACTGACAAAGGTAAAAGTAAAACATTTTTCACAACAGTATGAACCACACACTCAGAAAGAGATCTGGGCTTAATACAAATGACATAATTCCTAGTCATCTACAACTACTTCTATAACTTCATACAGACAATGAATTAGGATAAAATGCATTACTGTATTTGATAGACTCCAGGACCAGTATCCTTAGTACATCACAAAATACATTTTGATATCCTAAAGAAGCAAGACTTACAAGTAGGTGTTCTAAATGTAACTAATCTACAGCTACAAAGTTCTGCTTTTGATAGCATTTACCTTTTGGGGGAGTCTCCAAGTCTCCAAAGGATAAAAGCAGAGAATAGAATTGGTATAACATATACACAGAAGTCTGTATTGTAAAGGCTATAAAGATCTGCAGCACAATGGGAAGAGACCTTTTGCTCCTTCACATTGCATACAAATTATGTGAATTATGTTGCATATCTCTTGATCTACTGATGGTTATCCTGTCATGTTCTGCTCTGTTGGTCAAATACTGAGTGGATATGCTTCTAACCAGGGGATCAGCAGGATTGCAGTCTGTCAAAAGGGAAAAAATAGAGAGTAAAACTTTGGAAATACTTAAAGCAGGACTCCAGCTATCTTTTAGAAAATCCAGGCAGATGACTCCCTGACTGTTGTTGTAGTGATAATTTTGGCGGGAAAAGTAACATTTTGGTGGCGGTGGCTTAAATGGATAATCTGATGAAAATGTATCCATAAAAAAAAAAAACCACCACCTTCATATACAAAACCTGGTGAGCCAAGTAGAGTCAACCTTCATTCATAAATGTTATCTCCTTCAGGCCCAGCACTGCAGTTAGAAAGGGGATCAAGGATTATTTCAGCTAGCTCCTGGGATGGGAAACACTGCTTTTTAATACTACTTTTCTATATTAATAAATTTTTGGGTATGAAAAAATATATGATGAAATCAATTTATGGAAAGGTTTATCTTAGTTCTTTAGAGGAGTGCAATCCACCATGGTGGGAAACGATGGTGGTGGGAGTGTTGAGTGGTTGATCATATTCTGTCTTCAGGAAGCAAAAGGAGATGGAATGTTGGTGCTCTACTCAAGTTTTCCTTCTAATTTAGTCAGGGATGCCAGGCACTGGGAAGGTGCTGCTCACATTCAAGGGCGGTCTTCCAGCATCAATTAAAAGTGTTGTGTTGAGAGATCCTTACAGATACACTGAAGTATTTTTTCCCTAGGTATTCTTAATTCTGTCAAGTTGAGAATGAAGATTAACCATCATGGTCTCGAGCCAAGTGTCAGTCCAGAGTTAAGCAGGATGGTTATAAACTCCAAAACTCATATGAATGTGGACACCAAGAATGTAGATACATTACCTGCTGTGGCATCCAAAGGTCTTACGTCTCTGTACACCTAGACTATACACTAAGGACATATCTGTTTGACTAAATGGAGTAAGCTAAGAAACCTTACAACTTCTTGCTTTGAAGTATGATATTCTGTCTCATTCTTTCTTATTCTTACAAGTTCTAACCCTGAAATCAACTCTTCCAAGAGCCTCCCCTACTGTGTATCCATTTCTCCCTGTGTGATAAGCATGTTAATTGGATCTCAATTAAGGAACATGTTAATTGGACCTCAATTAATTAAGCATGTGGTAAGTTATCTCAACATAACTCTGTACACGTTATAGTGCTTTTTATTTATCTTTTCCAATTTAAGTTATACAACTCTTGAAATCAATATGTCATTTCACCTTTTTCTTCCTTGATCACCTTTGCCCATTTGAATGATTAAAAATACTACTGAATTAAAATTTCTTATTCATTCACTTCCATAGTTCTATAAAATGCTGATGTGACTGATGACAAATATTCACAGAAAAATAGGTTTTAGCTTAATAAATGCTGATCCAAGTTGTGAATATATAATAACCTTAAGATATCAAATGAGAGTGCAAATCTATGACAGTGCATAAAATTCTTTATTTAGAACAATAAAGTATATGTATATATAATGTAATTTCAAATTCAAACCTGTATAAAAAAGGGTCAGGACACATACCTATTTTAAAAAGTACACATACAGTATATACACATACACATCACATTTTACAACCTTTTTTATTTAAACTTCAGCCATAATAAACTATTTAGAATAGTGTTGACATACATTTACATTATAATATGCAAACTCCAATCTATGACTGAACTAGCAATATATCTGTGTAGCCATCTAAATGTCTGAATACTTTTCAAGTCCATTGACTTCAAAAACAGTGGCAGGTGGACACAATAATCACACATCAATCCCTAGAATACAGGAGAATAGGACAATAAGAAATTTGATTGGAAGATTATTTTTAGTGAGTCTTATACCCTAGAAATTGAGAAAATAAAAATACCACGGTTTTTTGTTTAAACAAATTTCTTTCTAAAAATACCATAAGAAAGTATTTGGAGGTGGCAGTTGCGCATTTAAAATGTTCAGCAAACATTTTAGGATCATAAATACCCACTTCAGTATGGTATTATAAAATAGAGGTACCATTATTTTATCCTGACAAAGGCATCTTGAGGCAGAAACATGAATTGTGTGATCAGATTCCATAAATAAATTTTGGTCTGAATGGTTGCATTTTAAAGCCAATTTTACAATAGTGTTCCAAAGATAAGCTGGTTTACTCTAAAATTTTTGCCCTATTATCCAATTTTAAATGTAATTTATGGATTATACTTTTATAAATTTGTTCTAAAATAGCTTTTGGCATGCAAAATGCTTAGTAGCATCTTACACGTTCTGTTCTTAGCTTTCAATAAAATTGAGAACATTTAAATGCTTACTCTGCTACATTTCCAAATATAACACATCTTGTATCTCTTTCTGGTGAAAACGCACTACTGGTTTCTTCAGAGATAATCCCAGATGTTTATTTAAGCAAAGTTAAAAGCAATCTCTTGTGTAAATGGTTATCCAATTCTCCATTCTTGAGACTGAATTTCACTTTTACTAATGGACCCTATTTACATTAGAAACTAAAACAGCAAAAACTTTCCATCATCCAGATGCTTATTCAGAGGCTAGAGTTGGATATTTGTGTGGGACCAGTTCTGCTCCATTTTATCTGCTTTGCCAATCACTTGGCCTAAGGGCTCACTCTTGATGGGTGACTTCTGACCTTACCATACACACAAATACACAACTGAGATTCAAAGGAGGGTGGATGTGATTTGTTTGTGGCAAAGTACAGGGTCCTAACAGTCTTTTTCAATATTCATCTGACTACGCCAAACTGCCTTTTTTAAAGAATATATTTCTTCATGAAAATGTATGAGAATGGTTAATATCCCATAATAAAAACCTATTGTAGGAAGACAGTAGGAATATCTACAGTTCCACAATGAATTTTTCTGTGCATTTATAACTTTGATGGAATTAAAGTACAAAAATGTGCCATACTGTTTTTAAAAGATATATGAATGTTCAGTGAAATGTGCTTAATTCTTAATTAAACACATGTACTTCATTGTGGACACATTCTTTTAGCATTTTTTTTTACATATGCAGTAATTTTTTTTGGAGTACAGGTTATTTGTTCTATTATTTTATTGAAAAAATCAATTGATCTCTGACTCATTAAAGATGTGGCAGTGTGGTAAGCACATTAGATTACAAACAACACCCAGGTCATCTTTATCACTGCACAGGCCCTACTGATCAGACAGACAGCTTTGTTATGGTCTTGGTTTCTACCAAGGAGATACAAAGCTTTCCATATAATTTAGATTCTTCAGATTTCTTAGGTCATTTTAATTAAAAAGCATTTTTAAAAACATTACAAAAGAGAACTTTCAGTTACATGGCCCCAATTTAAAAGGAGATTTTATACTTTCTCAGTTATGAGTTTTTCATAATTTAAGATAAAATATTCAGAACATATATGGAATAAAATATGCAATGATATGTATTTTTAATCTGAAAGCAGATATGCCATAGTTAATATCCAAGCAGCTAGCATCCAAAATAATGTTCAGCATTTTTCTACTGTTCATGCATTTTATTGAATCTTAGTGTTTTAAAAAATTGGCAATCTATGTAACTCCCAATGAACCAATATATTTACTAGGCAGGACACATCTCTCCTCCCCTATCCTGTCAGATTTCATAACCTGTTAAATTTGTTTATCTGGCTCTACTGACTAAGACCATGTCCTTGAGTATTAAAACCCAATTGCTAGCTTTGAGAACAAATGTATCGTTCTTGTACTCTCAAGCTCAGTAAACAACATTTTCATAAGACCAAGCAACTTGAAAACATCAGATAAATAAAGCAAGCCATAAAATTGAGAAGTGACAATATTTTCAATTTATACACACCTATGAATAGGACTCATGTTAGCCTATATCTATAATCTCAAAGCAATCAATGCCACACAAGATAGCTCCTTTCAGCAATTAAACCAATCACTAGTTTTATTACAAATCAGTTGGACCACGGGATATCTAAGGGCTGGACCAAGTTAATGCAGCTTCCCAATGAACCTGGATTAATCTTGCAGGAATGATTAGTACTGGGGGAGTCACAGCCCTTTAAAGAAGCTGCTGTAGAAACCACTTGAGCTCTTTGGGATAAAGAAGTGCAAAGGCCACATACTGGAGCTGCACTTGCACTAGCTTTGACTATAAGCTCCGACTTCTTGGACTCGTAGTCTTGGACTCGTAGTTTCTTGTGTGCTTTCACATAACTACACTGAAAATGGTTGTCTTGTGGTTATAACATGTGGCAAATAAAGTTATTGCAAGGATTAAGTTAGAATGAAGTTTATTTGTTCATGGTATATTAAAAGAGCCTTCATAAAAAGAAATCATTTCTTGATTTTAGCCAATTGTTTTTTACACTATAAAACATATGGGCAAGGGGAATCTACACAAAGTCATATGCATTCTGGTTTAAAAGCACAATGTCCATCTTGGGAATTCCTGCCAAATTCAGTCCGAGAAATGCTGTCACGTATTTTAAATAGCAAACTGACATGCATAACTACATAAAGCTCTCTTTTTATTTTTATTTTATAAACCATAATGGATATAGACTGCCTGATTTTAAATAAATGGTTCCTTTAAAGAGATAACGGTTGTTATACTATAAATAACTAATGTTTCCTGATTCCTTGCATTCTTACATAATCCAAGTTACTTAGTTTTCAACATCCATATTAGCATAAAGTGTAGATTTCTAACCTTAGATACTAAATATCATAATTTATTTGTATTCTCTCTCATGGTGGAAATTAAAAAAAAAAAAAGGGACCTTCATACATTCAGCATTTTCTCCCAAGTCTGTTTGCACAGCTCTGTAGTGGTTTCAGAATATAAACTTTGTAGTAGATTTTGAAAACATGAGTGGTCAAGGGAAAAGACCAGCTTCACTAGGGGCCAAATGTCCTGCTTGGCATATTCTTCCACTGGTCCATGTTGATAGCTTCCTCCTGTGATGAATTGTTTGGAGAGTCTTCCCTATGCCACAGCATCACTCTTCAATTCAGCACTAACTCTCATGCATGGATAGAACCAGCCAGTCAAGTCCATTTTCCTACTGGGATATGGTGTGCATGGTCTATGTCAGGGAGAGCTAATCAGCAACTACAGAGCTGATGTGCCTGCTCCCAAAATAGTCCCCACAGCATTCAACTCCATATAGTGGCTGATGCTACTGAGTTTTTGTTTAAAAATTTTTTTCTACATCCCTTTGAAAAAGAAATTATTACCACCCCCGACTATCCAGTCTGAAATCTACTTGCAGGGACCAGAATAACTACAGACTGCAGGTTGTAACCGAAGTACAAAGCTGTGAGCTATGTGGGTTTTCAGCACTTAGACATTTCCAGAGCCATGCAAATGGCGCAAGTGGACTAAACACATGCTCTCTCCCCCATCATCACTTGCAAGACGCCCAGTGTCCTGCTCCATGAAGGTTCTTCTTTATAGATGATGAGTTCAGCGCCAGTTTCACAGTTAAACACCGTGCTCCAATTTCTGAATCATCCATACAAAGTCATGGGTAGCAAGAACAGATAAAGATGAGGTCTGTCACTTGAGACAGAATAGGAATTTGTTTAAAGCTGCTTCATTTATGAAGCAAACATGAACTGTTACCAGCCTAGAGAGGAAGGGGGAAAAAAGAGAGAGATTATGATGTGTCTGCTTCTTGCCTTCTTTTCGTTCTCAATAGTTGACTTCATGTAAAACCCCTGAATGAGTAACAGACTTAATATGTGTTACACTTAACCTTAAAGAACTGGGCAGGTTCTGATCAGTCACCATCTCCCTAGGAACACTCAATATGATATCAAATGATCTTATTTATTGTCTATTGTCTGTCTCCTCTGATTACAGTATAAACTCCGTAAGGCTGGAGAACTTTCTCTCTCTTTTACTGCTGCACCACAACCGTTATAATGGTGCCTGACACAAAGTATAATATAACGCTTAACAAATATTTCTTAAACATAAGAATGGATAAAGGTTAGTGCTGCTTTATTCATGACGGCAAGGAAAGGTAACCAACTTAGATGGACAGTGACAGATAAATGGATAATGAAAATATGGTACATATATGCAATGGAATTTATTCAACTATAAGGAGAAATGAAATTTGCAGGACAATTGATGGACATAGAAAGTATACTATAAAGTGAAGTGATGCAAACTCGTAAGAAAAAACTGCATGTTTTCTCTCAAGTGTGGGTCCTAGCATGAAATGTACACATGCATGTATATGAATGAGTATAAATGTGGATAAAGTCTAAAAGCTAGAAAGGAAACCAAAAGTGGGCAAGAACAGGCACTGAGGAAGGATGGGGTGCTGTGGAAGACACACAGGACATGACAGAGGAAGACACTGAGTGTGGGAAGTTACAAGGAGGGGACGGGGTGGCACGAGGGTGGGAGAGATGAGGGGGAGGAGAATCTACTAAAACACATTTTGTTAGAAAAGGTCATAATATCTAATATCAGTATGTTAATTAAAAAAGTAATAAAAAAAGAATGGAAAATGGGACTGGGGAGATAGCTTAACTGGTAAGGTTTTTGCCACTCAAGCATGAGGACCTGAGTTTGAACACCAGAATGTATTTTAAAAATCCAGATCAGATATGGGGGCTGGAGAGATAGCTCAGCAGTTAAGAGAACTGGCTGCTCTTGCAGAGGAACTGGCACCCACATGGCAGCCAACAACCATCTGTAATTCCAGTTCCAGGGGATTTGAAGCCTTCTGACCTCTGCAGGTATTGCACAACACAAGTAAACTTACACACATGAAGGCAGTATATTCATACATGTAAAGTAAAAAAAAACAAAATATTATTTTAAAAATCCAGCTGTGGTAGCATGTATTTGTAATCCCAACACTTGGAGGGGACGTGGGGCAGGTGGATCCCCGTGGTTTGCTGGCCAGCCGGTCAACTGACTTGACAACCTGCAGGCCCATGAGGGCACTGCCTCACAAAACAAAATAGATGGCACCTGAGGAATGACAGCCACAGTTGCCCTCTGACCTCCACATGTACACACACGTGCATATATACCTCCCCATGTTCGCCTACATATACATGAATGTTTATGCATATACACACAAGAAAAAAATGGCTAGATGAATACCTTGTGATTTACATGTCCCCAGACAAACCATTATTTATCTTAATTTGTGTGACAAGAGGGTTACCAATCGATTTAGCCTTGAATTTCTCCAGCATACAGAGTAGACAGATGGTGAGGGAGGAAAGGTTGAGGCACAGGGCCTAGAGCGTGCGGAAGGGCAGCCCAGATGGAGAGGCATGGAAGATATATCTGGGACAGTGGAGAAGTTGTTCAGAGGCTACCAAGTACCAGTCAAGTCACCATGAAGCAGCTCCAGTATCCTGCCTGTCTAGCAAGCTTCTAAGCAATCACCCCCTTTCCCTCAACCCCACCCCCACCAAACCAGAGCAAATTCTCATTCAGTATTTCCTCTCAAACGGAAGAAAGACTAAAATCCTGACACTTCCTGGAGAATTTCACTTGGTCTCACTACAGCTTATGGTACTTGGTAAAACATGACAGCCACAAAGTTTTTCAATGCTGGTTTTAAACCATTGAATCTCAGATATTTCAACATTCCAGTAATTAAATCCAGACAGATAAATAAAGAGATATTAAAAGAAAATTTCAGAAATCATATACATACACACACACATATAGTTTAAAAATAAAGCATGGTTAGGCAAGCAAAACAGAATCATGAAAAGTAAAAATAGTTTTGTTAAAGCTAGGCAGCTATGCATAATTTAAAATTCTTGACTTAATTAACTGTAGAGAAGCAAGACTAGAAATCTATTTTGGATTTTTGTCCCTCGGTTACTTAGCAAAGAAAATAAAACTGAAGGCTGACAACTGTTTTTTCAGAGAATAAAACTACAATTTTTTATAATGACACCTTGGAATTTTACAATAAGCTCATGAAATACGCAGGATGAGTATTATTATCCCCTCATTACACAGTGGTGTGTCATTTAATGATGGGGATACCTTCTAAGAAATGAGTTGCTAGGTGATTTTCTTGTGCAAACATTATAGGGTGTGCGTATCTAAATCCAAATGGTATAGTCTGCTACACACCTAGGCTGTATTATAAATCCTGAGACCACCATCACATGTGCTGTACGCTGGCTGAAACATCATGTATATGATGTTATATATAACTGTATATGAAAATACAAGGGTTAAAAGACACTAACTCATCCAGGATCCTGCAACTAGTTAAGTTTCAGAGCTGAGGCTTGAACCCAGGTCTAAACCTGTCCAAGCTTGTTTTACAACATGGCTCAGAAGAAAGAAAGCCCAGAAACAAAAGTCCCCAAACCCTGGAAATTTTTAGAGAATACCGGTAAAGCATCAGAAAGCTTGATGACTGGGGTCCTACCATTTCCAGGCCTGTGCCTAAGTGCTCAAGCTTGGCTTGTCCTTTTCCTCATGAGATGTCTAAGATCTATTTTCTTCCACTGTAGCTCAGAACGATAGGAGAATTTTAGGTTGAGTTTCTGTTTTTACTCTCTTTGCATGCCTGCGTCGTGGGCATTCCTTTCTGCTCTCACCATGGTGGGGTAGCTAACTGACACTAACTGAACACATGCTACAAACATGCTATTTATTATTAGTTAGCCTGGGCCCTCTCTGTGACTCAGCAGTCTTTCTCCCAAGGTCTCAATTAAGAATTCTGTGCAGATGACGCTCAAATTCCAATCTACAGTTGCAGCCCTAACTATCTGCCATAGTTTCATCTCACCGCATGTGGCCGTTGTTCAGAAATACCAGTATTTAGCAACATCTTCTCAGTTCTGATTTCCCATTTTCAGTTAATAGCACCACCACCCGCTGTTTCCTAAATTCCAAATCACCCCTCCCCAAGTCCTATCAAGGAGTCGCACCAGTAATAAGGATGTGTCAATTCTTTTACTGCAAAGTGGTCTGCACTTTACTACTGCCATGGCCCTGACTTCTCATTCTCTCACAACTGACTGGAAGACAGCTCTCCTAGTTAAAACCCTATCTCCAGTTCAACATTTCTGTCCTAACGGCCACAATACCTATTTTTCCCAAGCTTCTGCTCTGACTGGATCATCGCTATTATCTAACCCCTCCAACAGCTCTTTAGATTACCTAAAGGAACATAAGTTATGTTCCTAGAATCCAAAGCCTCTTTCAAACTGATGCTCACTCTTCTCAACACTAATCCTGTGTGCATGACTTCCTCTGGAGTCCATTCATATAAGCTGTATGCCTGTGGAACCCAGTTTATACTCCAGGGTCTTCCTAATTTTGCTTATGCCAGCACAGTATTTGGATGAACCATTTTTATTAATGAAATAGTACCAATCACCCAGTATCTGGCATATCTAATACAAAAGCCACTTCTGTTGCTTGTGGAACCAAGCTTTCCTCCATCCTTTCAATTAAAGAGATTGCATGTGGGGTGGGCTTGGCACAGCCACAAGGGATGCTATCCATGGCAATATCCAGGGACACTGATATGCAGTGACCTCAACTTTAACTTCTTACTGAGTTTTTTACTTCAGAAACTCCATTTGATATTTCTGAACTTTACAAACTTATTTACCTTTAAAAATTATTCTGTATTATTTCCTTTTGTAGGTTATAAGCAGTGTGAGGACATAACTAGGCTATATGTTCCACATGCACTTAATGTATCTTTGAGAGTTTCTTGGGATTTGATTGTGAGATGAATAAGGCATAAAGTTCTCCTATAATATGCCAGGTAAGCAAAGCTTTTAATGTAAACTATCTGTTTGATTTCTGTCTTTTAACTTTTACTCCATTCAACACAATCCATGAGTTCTCCTAGACTGATGTATATAGGTAGCTGCATTCGGCTAGGTGACAGAGCGGACCTTTAACGTAATGTAAATGCTTTCATATTTGATGTCAAATAAACACAACTTCAAGATATTTTTTAAGAAACTTCTTCTGTTTCTTGTTCTTCATTTAATTCCTCCTATGTTATTCCCTTATATCTAAGACATATAACTTTCTGTTTACAAATTTTATTTCCTCTGGAAAATTAACACTCCTTATGTTTTTTTTATTCTATTATTCTAATACAAGTTGATTTAATTTGCTTTAGTTGGCGAACCTTCCATTTTAGAGAGAGATCCCATCCATAAATCTGAGTCATTCCTCCCTTTTCCTCTTTTCTGTTAACCAAGAAAGAGACTGCAAGCCAAATTACATCAAAAACTAAAAATTATATTATTACATTTCTCCATTTTTTATATACTGGTACTTTTTTCTATGGTTATTATTAACATATCCTTTTCTTCCATGTTGTATTTTATTCCCCTAAATTTTTCCTGCTACTACACACTTCTTATGAAAATATACTTAAAATTGCCAGGGGAGAGGTTCATTCTTTCCTTTTCTCTGTCTCTCTCTTTCCTTCCTTCTTCCTTCCTTCCTTCCTTCCTTCCTTCCTTCCTTCCTTCCCCCTTACTCCCTTCCCTCCTCCCCCTTCCTTCCTCCCTTCCTCCTTCCTTCCTCCCTCCCTCCTTCCTCTTTCCTTCCTTCTTCCTTCCTTCCTTCCTTCCTTCCTTCCTTCCTTCCTTCCTTCCTTCCTTTCTTTCTCTTTCTTTCTTCTTCAGTATTGAAGACTGAAATCATACCTTATGTACATTAAGCAAACACTGTCCTATTAACCTACATTTTCATACTTTTATTTATTTAACTATTTTTGTTTTGAGATAAGAGTCTTAGTAAACTGCTCAGGCTAGCCTCAAAGTGCCTCAGCCTCCCAAACAGCTGGAATTACAGTGCTATACCATTATATCCAGCCTCTTGGAGGGCTTTAAGCCTCTGTTGGTACAGGGTCAAGGATAAGGCTTTATACTCTGTGTAATGGATAATCAGTGTTATTACATGGGATGTGTATTTGACTTTGGGATTTTGATTAATGGACACAAACTGACCCTCCCTCACTTTTACTCTGTAATTTCCTCAATATTTGTGTTCTTATATCTACTCAAGATTACTTGCATCATTATCTTAATAAGTTTTATTCTCATGTGACATAAGTTCTTTGAGATATTGAGTCATATTTTGATTTATTTGACATATTTATTCATCAGTTCTATGTACAAAGCATAGGTAATATAGTTTAGCAGGCACAAATACTACTTTCTGAGCACTTATACATTCACAAAAGACAAAAAATGTCTATATAAGTTACTGTGATATACTATTGAGAGGCGTATGATAGGTAACTAGAGGGCAAGAAACAGGGATCAGTTTAACAAAGTCAGATTTTGAATATAGTGGTCAGTAAAGTACTCCACGACAGAGACTTGTAACTGATTTCTTCACTCATGCCATCACTGACATCATAGTGACTATTCAAGAAGTATGATGAATTTACTTCTAAACAGTTCTGAGTTTCTTTTATTTGGCTGTGTGATTTTTAGTTAATTAACTCATTAGTTAATTTATAGGCAGACTCTTACAAGGTGGTTCAGGTTGGCCTGGAATTCACCATATAGCCCAGATTGGTCTCAAACTTCTGCTCTTCCTGCCTCACCCTCCTGGGCTGGGATGAGAGACACGCACCATTTCTCAGTTTTATACATGAATAACATTTCATACTCTTGAAATGAATGAACAGAAGCCTTCCAATATGACTATCATCCTCGTTGCTGTGCACATCTGGGTGCCAGTGATCAAAACCAGCACATTAAGCCCATATATCTATGCAGGACACAAAATAAAAACAAGTCCAACCTCAAAATAAGTATATCACCTTATTACTTGCTTAAGTTTTTTTCAGGGCTCATTGATTCAGTCATTCTCATTCTAACATTTATCAATGTTGTACAAGTAAAAAATTTAGTGCTGGCAATATAGTTAGAACCAGACAGACCTGGCTCCTGTCCTGGCATGCTATAGGACTAGAAATATGCGTAAGCTGTCTGACTATGTTTGTTTTAAAATGTCATCAATTCTTTTCCTCCTAAGTAAATGGCTTGGGTTCCCCATCGTAATCCAAATGTCACAGGACAAATGCAACAGTCAAAGCCACATGATTGAAGAGCTATGTGCCAAAACAGGATCCCTGAAATGCAATCCCTAAACCAAACAGAGGATGTCACTTGGACTTTTACGATTCAATTAACCATTTAATGTGTGGTATGTAGATGTCTGACTTAAGGGAACTGAAGTGACAGAAAAGAAACAGTGAGGTTTGTGCTATGGTTGAAGGACAGAGAAAAAGATCTCTAGGAAGAACAATGATTTCTCCTTAGAGAATACTGCTCCAGAAAATAAGAGATAGCCCATCTACTTATATTATTAGATAGAAGAAAAAAAGCCTGGGGAAGCTAGGGCAGGGGCAGAACAGAGTCCCAGTCAGGCTTTGGATGTGGTTGTTCAAGGGTATGACTGAACACAAAAACAAAATGTATGTGGAGTAGTTATTATCTCAAGGTACATCAGGCTGCTGAAAAATAATCTGTTATACCAACCAAAGTGAATCATTAGAGCAAGAGGCAAAAGACTAGGGCCAGCTTCCCCAGGGAAGGTTCAGTAAGGAGGTAATTTTGAAATCTAGGACAGAAGTGAAAGCTGGAAGGACAGTGACCCTGTAGGGAAAGGAAAGAGCTTACCGGAACCTCTACCAGTAATAACATAACCGAGCAAGTGACTCTGACAGAGGGAATACGGAGAAAACTTGAGTGTTCAGGGAGAGAACAAATATTCCTAGTCTGTGGAAAATTCATTCAAAACTCAGGGAGCAATAACCTGAGTTAAAATTAACCTCTACACAGCAAAAGTAAACGTGAGTAAGAAATGAACTGATGTTGATAAGGTTGATGCCATGCTGGGTGTTCAACCAAACATGTCTGAGTTTGAGAGCAAGGAAAGTAGAGATGAGTGATAAGAAACACCAGTCCCGGCCAGGCATGGTGGTACACACCTCTAATCCCAGTACTCGGGAGGCAGAGATAGGAGGATCTCTGTGAGTTCGAGGCCAGTCTGGTCTCCTAGTGAATCCAGGCCAGCTGGGGCTACAGGGAGACCCTGTCTCAAAAAGACAAAACAAAAAACAAAAAACAAAAAAATAAAGAAAGGAAGGAAGGAAGGAAGGAAGGAAGGAAGGAAGGAAGGAAGGAAGGAAGGAAGAGAAAGAACGCACAATCCCTCTGACGAGGTTGCACTATCCTTTCTTATACAGTACCTCCCCCAACCACACAATCACAACCAGGGTGTGTTACTGGCTAACACTTGGTACATCCTGGTCTCCAGTCTGGAGTGAGGCACTTATGAGCAGTCCTGTAGCAAGTGGCACTTTGCCCTGGTAGCTATACTTTGACTCTAAGATACTTTGATTTTTGTCTTCTTTTTCTTAAAGTGACAGAAAAATAGCTTTGATTTTCTCTTTATTCAGCCTCTAACAAATGGGCCACTGACACTTGATAGTGGTCATACATAGATGAAATTGGTCTTTTAAAAATATGTTAAAAATTTTACTCCTAATTTTCTGTTTGTTTCCTTTTACTCCAAGTAAACAATGGTTAATTAACAATGATTAATTTTTTTAAATATCTCCCATCCAAAATGAGTTCACTAATCTGGACAAATAACTGCTTACCTTTCAAAATCTGACAATATACAATGGGTGAGATATGCACAGTTCAATTCTGTAACAACTTTGGTTAACATTTAGACATCTGCTCCATCAAGGGCATAACAATAAAGCTTGTTTCTAAATTCCAGCTTCTAAGATGTTATATAGTTCTTGCAAGCTCTTGCAGCTTGAGGTCTAAACACTTACCACTGTATGAAGGTAACAATGTTGATAAAAACCACAATTACACTTCTTGAAACTCTCTCTCTTTTTGTTGCAACATACTGAAACACAACAAGAAAAATGCTTATTTGCTTTTGGATGGAAATTCTGAAGTACATCATGATCCTGGCATTACAAAACTGAGCAAGCTTATCTTCCTGAGTACCTCCATAGAGAAGAGAGATGACTTATCTCTACACAGTCAGCTCAAGTAGTTTATAAATATTCCTGTACATACTGTATGTACTTCAAATGCTTATGTGCATTTAATATGTGTGTATATACATCACCAGACATGATAAGAGAAAATACTGTGCTGAAATTGATAAGAAACGGTAACTGAAAATATTAGTGTGCTAGGGCAAGAGATGGAAAAGTCATCTGGACCAGTTATAGGAAGGTGAAGAACATCTTAGAACAATGCTTGTATTTAGCTTTGGAGAAAATACTAAATAAGTCAGAGAAAAGCTAAAGGCTGTGATAACCAGACTGAAGTAATTATATTGAGTCTGCAAAAGAAAGTCATTTGAGGTATTTTAAACAGGAAGTAGTATCACAAACAAGGATTTAAGAAAGAATATAATAGCAGTAACTCAGCCAACAAATAATGATATGGACATGGGTGAAGATGATTGTCTCCAAGCAATGTAAGGAGTCAGTTTGTCTCAGTAATAGTGTAGAAAGTATATGCAAATGCACCTTCAGAGACAGTTATACATATGTATTTTACAGGACGTAGGATTAAAGAGACAGTGAAAGGTCAGAAACAGGAAAAGATTTGGAGCACATTGGATGAGAGCTGCAGCCCAATCATGATCAATGTCTTAAAGATGTTACAGGCCTGAGAATGCACAGCACGAGAACTCCAAGCTTGTTTGAAAACATGTTTAGCAAAATGAAATACCTTATCTCATTATCCTCTTCATTAATCTGTATAGTTTCAACTGCCCTTGTAAGATTTGATTGTTTCTTCTGGGGGAAAAAAAAACAATGACATGTACTACAGAAACATCGATGACTGCTGTAATGCTTGAGAGGTTAGTGGTTTTCTCTTTAACATCAATTAGCTCTCATCGCAGGTTTTTTAGCATGCAAAATACATTTTTTTGCAAAAATAATGACAAAAAATGCATGCATTATCAACTCAACATTTTTAGGATGTTGAAGGCGGAAGGATAAAAACAAAGCCATCAGATAGAAACAGTAACCGAATTTAAAAGGTACTTTTAAAACCTGAGATATCGTGATTTAGCACATTTTAAATTTTAGGCAGGTATCAATAAAAGAAGAACAGATATTCAAAAAAGCAGCAATACAAATGATACCTTTATTTTACTTTTAAGCATACCACATGATTCTTAGCATATTGTCTTCCTTTTTAAATTAATTCAGACTATTAAACCATGTCTCATTTCTTACATGTGCCTTCTCCACTACAGGACTTCTCTCCAAAGTACAATGAGGAATGATAGAAACGTTTCTAAAATTTAAGCTTTGCTGAGACTGTAAGTTAACATTGTTTTCTCAACAAAATCCTTTTTTGGAAAGAGATCATATGTATATGTATATAATGAATAAACAATTATGTAAAGTTGATGAAGCGGGTGGGAGGAACAGAAATACTTACCTTCCAGTATAAGGCTCCAAAAGCAAAGCCAATTACAAGAGAAATGAGTGCTGGCAATGCCATGGCTGCCCATTGTAGGTCTGAGTCTCCAGCAGACTTTGCGGCCTTCCCTGAAATTTAAAGAGCACCATGTGAATACAGCAGCTCCATCCTAGGAGTCTGCCTGTTAGGTTGTGATTGTTCCAACCGGTTTCCATAGTGTGCTTTTGATGTACGTAAATCTCTAGAGTTTTCAAAAGGCTAGCTTTTCTGTTGACTATTGTTTTTGCAAGCAATGTAAGTCCATATAATCTCCAAAAGATGAAGGCATTTAAAAAGAAAGAAACCCCACAGACAGAAAGAGACTTAACACAGTTAATGTTCATGCATATGTAGAATACAGGGTTAGGCTATTGCTAGGAAGAATGATTTCTACTGAAAACAAACCTTTCTTCTATGTTTTTATTGTCTAATGTCTTTTTACTTTCTTACACTTGACTTTCTGCCCCCAGTGTTGCAAGCTGGATCAGGTCCTGTATGTTCTCTGCTAGGTTTGGCCAGTTGCAAACAGTAAGTGATTACATGCACACTACAGATAATGGTACTTTAAGTTGCTTAAAATTGTGGCTTTTGGCTCATTCACACCTTCAGTACACTCTGGGGCAGGGGGCAGTATTTTTCATTAATGTCACCCTGCTCTAAGTAAGCCTAAATAAGCACCTTAGTAACAAAACAACTAGTGCATTGACTCTTGATATCCACCCTGCTTCACTCAACCATGAGGAAGGGACTGAGTTCCACAAGGGTCTCTTTGCACCAATGTGAAACTGATTTAGACATATTTTTCTATATGACTCCTTATAGGGAACAATGTAATTATTTGGAAATACTGACATATATTTGTTAGTCTGTAAGAGTGAATTTTGCAGTTTCCATTGAAAGAAATTATAAATTTACAATAATTACATGACCAAAAATCTGATCAAGGGAAAGTGACTGCTTTTAGTAATCTTGTAACAAGAATTTGGTCACAAGGTTAGTCTACAATCACTTATTTAATACATCTAATACCCCTAATGTTCATAAGATACAGAAACAGATCCACTGTGTGTATGCACATCCATCTTGATAAGGAAAAGGGAAATTCATAGAGTTCATCTAAGAGGTAGAAATAAATTTTACCCACCTCCAGCATGTGGGAACTATAGCAAGAAACTTTCCTAATTCTATGATTCCTATATTTCCAAAGAGATTCTAGCAATACAATGTTTGCACATTTGTTCATATACCAGTGTGTGTCAGAGGGACACAGAAGAATGGGTGTCCAGAACAAAGTTCAGGAATTGCATGTGGAGATGTGGGAAGTGGGGCCACCCACTTATGTAATAATAAACTGCTTCCTCAAGACAAAAATTAACCATCCTCTGTCTTGTCACACACATCCTATAGCCCCAGGACAAATGTGTTTTAGGCAACTGAAGTTGGGGTTCAATATGAATTTATCTCTCCAAAACAAAAATCACCCTTAATGAACTGAGATTTACTGTAATAGATGTAGTGCTATTATTATAATAAGATACTTTAAGGATTATGAGAAAACAGATCTATAGTCATAAGCAATTTCTACCATTTTAGGAATTCTAATATCACTATTCTCAAACAAATAATTTGGCTCTTTATGTTTGTATTCCCTTTGAAGGACAAACTGCTGTGGCCTCTGCTGTCTACTGGGACTACTGATGTCCACTTTGACAGCTCCACCCTTAGGACTATGGGCTAGTAAAATTCCTCCAATCTAAAATGCAACAAAAATCATTCAGTAGGAGAGAGGAAGGGAGAGGGACCCCCCCAAGGACAAGGAGAAGAAAAGGTATTGAGTGCCATCTCCTACAGAGGTGAGTAAGACTTGACTTCTGTTGTTTCATTCTTGAAAACAAGGCCTTCATTTCCTCCAGCATACAAAACCTTATAAAAAAGGAAAGACAACTTTATAGAAAAGCTTGCCCACACCTCCAGGGAGGACTACAGTGCTTGCACTGAAGCTCACTACCAGGAATCTACACAACTTGAACTTGTATGCCTCAAGCCCATATGAAGTGTATTTGGGGCCAAAGCCCACGTTGATAACAAAGCTTTGCTTTTGTGCAGAGGCTGCCTGCAGAGACCATGTTGGGAAGGAGCGCTGATCTAGACAGAGTTTAAGTAATCCTAATTCCTAGGACATTACTCTATTAATTGTGTCTAATTATTACTAAAACTGTCCACTCTTGAATTTTTTAGTGACTGATTTATTTGTTCTAATAGCAAGCAACATGTGAACAAACAGAATGTAGAAAACCGTGCTAATATTGCTGAGCTTCTTTTTAGGGCTTAGCATGCTTTGGAACTCCATGATAACAAACATGGCTTGCTTGGTCCTCAGGAAATGGGCATACGGGCTCTCCTCTTTGATTCTGATCTCAAACTCTGTACAGGCACACCAAAGTTACTGTCCCACGGTGATTAGCTGTCCCCATACTAATTTTGATGAACTGTTTAAGCATGACTCCATGAGTACATATGCTAATTCATTTAACTTGACAGAAGCCCTATGAAGGAGGAATTACCATCTATCGACTGGGGATTCAGAAAGCTTAGGTAACTTGCCCAAGATCACTCAACAAGCTATGATGAGGATCAAGGTATGCAGGTATTCACAAATTAAGGATACACTACTCAAACACTGTGTGAACAAATCTCTAACTTAAGCATCCTTGAACCAATTTTTCCTTGGCACAGAGAATGTTATTATTTCTTTGTAAATATACTTCCCTTCATATAAATAATAGGCTTGTATAGTATTCCATGGCTCTTCCCTACACATTTACATCTTTCATATGCTCTGTCCTCTGATGAGCACAGCTTTTAAGTTTTATCCCTAAAAACTATAATCCTTTCTTCAAATTTTCCTGACTACTCATCCCCAAAACAGTTTCACCTCCTTTATACTACAAGTAAAAACATTTATAAAATTCTATTAATATTCCAGTTACATACTGTGCTATAGGTATTTTATCTACATCTCTCAGAATATAAGCATCGCAAAAGCTTTTCTTGTGCATTAGTATCTAACTAACATATTTATAAGTGGCATTATACATATCCAAAGGTTGATGACGTGTGAGATCTATATGTTTTACAAAAGGAAGAGAAAACAAAATAAATAAGGATGAGGGGGACAGGTAGAAGAGAAGTCTACTTTGTAGTTTAAAAAAAGCAGAGAATTGAGAGTATGTTTCTTATACGCAGTTTATTTTTATTTGTTTGTTTTTAAGTTGGAAAGTAGGAAACACTTTTGGTTCCAACTGTAGTAGCAGAGTAGCCTTTCCAACCTACACAATTAGAATTCTGGACAGATTACATGAAGCAACTATTTTCACAAATTAACTCATAAGCAATGTAAGAGTATAATTCCTGAGAGAGAGATGTACAAAGTGATTATTCTGGATTTCTGTCTTTTAGGTTCTACAGGCTTGGTAGAAAGAACCCTGTTAAGGTAACATTCTCACGGAGTAGGAATTTTGAGATCAAGTTCAGGTTTGTTGACTTGGGTAGGGTTGTACAGCTGTACTTGATGGAAGAGTGATGTGCAAATAAGAAGCATCACAAATCTTAAGCTATTCGGCAAACAATATGCTATGCATTCCCAGGAAGAGACATACAAAATCTGGGCAAGAACACATCTCTTAGCAAGCTCTAATCCCAGAAGGTACCCTATTAGTCACAAAGCAATGGGAAAAATGGAGTTCTAATGTACCAACTGGCATTCCCAGAACTCTAGAGACATCTCAGTCCACCCAGGTCTTTATAATAAAGTTATTCTTATAGCTGGGAAAGGTGGTGCACACCTTTTTAATCCTAGCACTCCAGAGGCAGAGGCAGGCAGGTGAGATCAAGCCTAGCCTGATCTACATGGTAAGTTGCAGCTGGGGCTATAGGGAGACCCTGACCAAAAAGAAAAATTAAAAAAAAAAAAAAAAAAAAGGAATAGGGTTATTCTCTTCCTGTCTCTAATCAAGTTTAAAAATAAGCATAGGAATCAATCAATGGCTGCTGAAGACAAATCAACTTCCTTCAGGGACAAGTTCCAGAAGGGTTATCCAAACCCAAGTGGCTGTTCATAAAACATACGTACACATAAGCACCATTATATGGACTCAGTATAGTGTGAGTGTGTGTGTGTGTGTGTGTGTGTGTGTGTGTGTGTAAAACAATAATAATCAATGAAGAGGTCATGAAGTTGGGGGGAGACTTTGGAGGAACTGTAGGGAGGAGATAGTGGCATAGGGATGATGTAAATACAGTTTTCCATATATGAAATTCTTAAGAATGTAAAAATAAAAAAGGAAGATAAAGTTCATCTACCAACAAGTGAACAGCCCATGGAAACAAAACTTAATGGCTTCTAGAGGAATGGTCCAAAATCCAGAAGAAATTCAACAATATAATAATAAATTTAGTATATGTTCAAACCTTATCAATTATTTAAAGCAACATTATGACCCAAACTCAGAACAGAAAAAAAAAGAGGAAAAAAAATATCTAAAATGACATAGATGTTCAAGTCAGGCAGAAATATTAGACAAAAAAGAAAATGTCTTAGAAATGAAGATGGAAATCTTAGCACAAAATATTTTTAAAAAATTATCAAATAGAAATTCTAGGCCAAAAACCAGAAACTTCGAAATAAAACCTGGTTGAAAAATTCATCAAATTAGAGATGGTAGAAGGAAATATCAGTGAACTGGAAAACAGGTAAGTAAAAGTTATCTGTTTAGAACTGTGATAAGAGGTTTCAGAAGATGAATACATACACTTAGCAAATGGAGGAAAAGGGTCATGGATTCAAGGCCAGATTCCACTACATAGTGAGTTCAAAGCCAGCCTGGACTACATGAGACCCTGTCTCAAGGAGAGACACTTTTAGATGTGATGTGTTATGTATGCAATTCAGATTTTAGAAGGAACTTCAGATTTTAGAAGATTCTGTCCTACAAATATTGCACATTTGAGACTATTACTCATTGAGTTCTGAACAACATCCTATAGCCAAACATCTCAAGGGTCCACAATGAAATATATAAATATTCATTTTCAGAAGGATAAAAGACTACAAACAGTGTCACCTCAGATTCAGGTCAAAATTTGATGGGAGAAAAAATTACAAACATTTTTTAGAGATTAAAAAATAACTGCATAGACTATTATAAGTTATAAAAAAAAAGTTGATTCCTTTTATATTTTTCACAGAGAAAAGTCTTGTCTTTCCCTGAACAAACAGTAATGTTTTTCCCATTGATCAGTCTTAAAGGATGACTGTTCTGCTAAGATCACATTTTTTTTTCTTCCTATAGTTTCCACGAGGCTAGAGGATGTATGCAATATCCAATAACCTTTAGAATAACCTTTGCATAATCTCGAAAATAAGACATAATCCTCCAGAAACCTGGGTTCTTGGCTAAAGAGGACAGAAACTTTAAAAAAAGAAGCATATTCTCCTCCAACATATAGTTTTATGGCAAAATAACAAAATGACCAAATTTCTAAACACACAGTAGTAAATACTGACACACAAATACACAAAACTGAAAATGTGCTTGGAATTATAGATAGCATCTGTACTTGCAATTTAAAAATTCCATTTTGGTTAGGCACGTTCTCCACAAAATATATTTTAGGCCTACAATGATAAAGGTCTAAATCATACTTTTATAATTAATTTCATGCCTTATTTAAAATAATCTTAGCAGAAAGTTTATTGGCCTGATTCTCTTATCATTATCTTAAGCTCTAGGGAAATCCAGTTCTATAAGTCAGATATTTAATTGTCAGGAAGACCATAAGACTGTAACAGAATAGTACTATTAGTAATAATTGTAGAAAATTCCTTTAAAGCCCATGCAATACTCCTATAGAGGCTAATTGGAGCCATGCGTGTATTAAATCAGATACATGTACTTACTATTACTGCTACTGCTGTCATTCCTAAGGGAGCTGGCTGCAACAGGGGGTAACATAAATGGTTTTGTGACACTGACTCTGGAATCTAAATAGAAAGCAATAATGTGTCAGTGTTATATGGTGATTTATATGAATTACAGAGTCCCCAAAAGGTGAAGTGCGGTATTAGAGTACGTGCCAGGTCTGCTTCCCAAATTTATATTATTTGGATCCTATTTATTTCATACTTAGTCCTGTTGCTCAATTTTATTAAGAAATTTACCATAATCACCTTGCAGAACAATGACTTATTGCATGCATTCATGTGCTAATAAATGTGAATAATGAGAAGTTGGTGACAAATTGTCATTTATAAAAGGAAAGCAATGAATTTAGTTCTGTCCTAGGGACCCAGCTGGGGCTGGGGAAGGATTCAGAGTAACTGGTGAGGATCAGAATTCAAGACTCAGAGTTAGGCCAAAAGATTTGAGAATTGAACATTAGGGACACTGAACATGAAGAATAATATAATTCCACACTACCAGCAAATGTCAGATAAGAAAAATGTGAGCCACCATCTTATATACCGTTTACTCACACACAACTCTTCATTTAAAATGATTATACAATCACCAACAGATGATAGTCATTAGTAGTCATTGATATTTGCTCTTTTGTTAGCGAAACACACATGCTCTTTCTACAGTTACACATGCAATAGATTTCAAAGAAGATTCTGACGGAAGTAAAGTTCAAGCTTGCCACTTACATTTAAATGGCAAATGCTTAAATGCCTTACCTTTCTCAGGACTTAATGTCGAGGAAAGCACACAATCGCTAGTGTCAGATGCCACCATAAAGTCTTTAAAGGCATCAATGGATCTATTGAAAATACTAAAGAATTCTTCAGGAGTGAAGAGCCTGGGTTCTGGCCTCTTCAATGGTTCTTTCATTACATTCTAGATAAAAGGGGGGGGGTAAGGGGAGGAAGCAAAACAGCAATTATATATTTCAAATAACCCATAAACTTGATTACAGTAAAGATAATGGAGTATAAATTATGTCCTTCAAGGATTCAAGTGCTTGTAGAAACCAACAGTTTTGGACAGCTGTTTTAATATACACAATTCAAATTGACAAAGTGGGATAGTGATGGCACCAGGTCAGGCTGGGCCTCGACTCATGACCAAAGCAACTGGGGGAGCAGAAGGAACAATCAAATACAATGTCAGGGCAATGAAATAATCTGGACAACTAATTGAGTACTTAAAAAAAGATACTAATTAAATTATTAGCTTTGACTTTCAAAAGCTCCTTCCATAATGGATGTTCCAATATCTCAGAATTTCAAAGTCTGATGATACTAAATATGGGTGTGGATACTAAGGATATGGATAGAAAACAACTCTTTTTTAATTTAATTTTTAAATTATGTGTACACATATATGTGGGTATATGTATGTGGGAGTGCAAGTACCCCGTGGAGTCCAGAAGAGGGCATTGCATCCCTGGAACTGGAGTTACAGGTAGCTGCTAGCCACCCAACTTAGGTGCTGGGAGCCAAACTCAGGTCTTCTGCTAGAGCAGAAGTGCTCTTAACTGCTAAGCTATCTTTTCAGTCCTGCAGGGAACTTTTATAAACTGCTGGTAAAATGCAATTTGACATATTTGATATTATCCACACATTGAGACATATATCTGCCCAATATATGACCCAAAAATTCTACTCATAGGTAATAAATAATATGGAATGAAAGAAACACATTACAAAAGAATAAGAATGGTATGATCGATTTACATAAAATTTAAAAATGCAAATCATAACTGTATTTTAGGGACACATAGATGGACATCTATAAGGAAAAGCAATTAATAATCACACATATGTATATTTTCTTGGGTTCTAGTCAAAATGCCATGACTAGTAAATGCACATTCTTCATAACTTGTGAATGTTTATCCAACATTGCCATTTATAAAACACAACTCATCTTTAAAGCCTCAATTCAGTTGTTAATTCCTTTGTGATAAGGTTGTGATATACTCTGCTTTTTGTGGTTCCTGCTTGCTATGAATGCCGTTACACACTATCTGTAGCACAAAGATAGGGTACTGATAAGATGAATTTCAAGGCACATTCTGATTTCAGAAATTAAAAAGTGAAAGAACAGAAATGGTAAACTGTCATGAATAGATGATTAAGATGACAGAAAATCCAAAACAGGACAGCATTAATGGGGACTGATGTTGAGTCTTCAAGAATAGCTGGGATATGGATGGGAGAAGAGAGAGAGCACTCAGGACCTTAAAACTTTAGACTTCTGTATGACCAATACGCTAAACATCCAGTTGAACTCTCTCTATCCAAGCATATCTCCCAAGCTCTGGTCCATCAAAGAGACAGTACTACAAGTAACAATAATGTCAAAATGTGTCAACGCTTATTTTGTCTGACCTCTATCCTGGAGTTAAAACACTTATCACAGATACTCTAATGTTGACCCTTGGGAGAGGGATTCTGCTACTGTCCCCAATTTAGGTATAAAGAAAATAAAGCACAGACAAGTTGGAAATATAAGTGTAGTTAGTGATAGACTTAGAATTTGAATATCTTATTCATAATTTTTGGCTTAGAAGCCAAAATGATATCATGTCTAGACCCTGAAGTTGATGATCCATTATATAATGACCCGAGGAACATGCATTTTTGTTGTTACCCGTGTGGTAATTACATTATAAGTCACAGGGCAAGGCAAGTATTATGAGCCCATTAAGGACATTTGGTTTAAATAAGTTTATAACTTAATGGGAAGATGGTATGAGCATCACTGAGGCATGAAATAAAAATGAAGGCAAAGGCAGAACTTTTTTTACGTTACAGTGTAAAGGTATTCTAGTTTCATATTAAGTGACAATATTTAAGTCTGAATGTCCACTTCAGTCTAACTACAAACATTTTTCTGTGCTCTTCCCAAACTATTTTCAAATTAAAAGTTTATAGTTTAAAATGACCCAAATAAAGAGGCTTCAATTCCTCAAATACCAATTAATGTAGAATAATAAATAATTCCAATAAACACAAAGTTACCTTAGGTGCGTTTTCTTCCACACATTCCACAAGGTCATCCACAATTTTCCCAAGTTTGTCTATGATTGAATAATTACTCAAGCCTTCAGAAATATTTGAAAATTTGTCCAGAAGATTAGTCAAGCTGACTGACAACTGTATTACCATCTCACGTAACCAACAATGACTAGGCTGGAAGAGATTCAAAGAGGAGACAAAGCAACTATTTAATAAGTGCAGTAAATTTAGAGTGCTCCAAATTCATCTATGCTTCCATCACCAACTGCAGGACAAAGGACTTTCTTAGAGCAGAACATGTTAAATCTTGTATTTTGTTCAAATCAGATCTAGTGTCCAATTTCAAAATTGACAAATGAATCAAGATCAGAGGAAGTCATTGATGGTAAAGACTTTGTTCTATCACGGAAGAAAATGAAGCCAATACAGAGCCAATCCAAACCCTTAACAAAGTTCAAGTATTAATGGACTTTATTAAAGATTTTTTTTATGATTTACTCACTGTGTTTTCCAAAAAACATTAGATGCAGAGGGAATTACAAAAAAATTACTGGAGAAGAGCCCTGAAGGAACTTCCAGTCTAAAACCAACTAATCAAAAGGTTTCCATTGATTTCCAGGCTTCTCTATAGATAAATTCATGTGGGTGGGAGCACGGCTTGGGCACACAACAGAAACACTTTTGCCTAGTGTCAATAGAAGCTGCATTATTTGTGGAACCAAGTGAAAAATGAAAGTGTATTTCTTGTTCAAAACTATTATTTTAAAATTTGTTTTAGGTCTGGGCGTGGTGGCGCACGCCTTTAATCCCAGCACTCGGGAGGCAGAGGCAGGTGGATCTGTGAGTTCAAGGCCAGCCTGGTCTACATAGTGAGTTCCAGGACAGCTTGGAGCTACAGGGAGACCCTGTCTCAAAAACAAAATTTTTTTTTGAAATTATCTAGTTCTTCAAGGTTGTGGTAGCAGAACATTAAACAAAGCATGGTGCCAACCTCACGAAGCCAGTTCTGTCCATCCATCAGAGAGATACCCAAAGTTGGAATCAGGACTAAATGGATTCAGTTCTAGCTGAGACTCCAGGAAAACTATTTAAAGTCTGATTGCACATTTCCTGTGCATGGACAGAGAAGGATGGAGATAGCACAGCTAACCTGAACATGAGTTGCATGAGAGCAGCATTTTGTTTAAAAGTCTTTTTCTCCGTGATGCCCTATTGCCTAGAACACTCCCTGGCATGTGGGAAAAATCACATACTAAAATGATTCATGAAAAATAATGTACTAAAAGATGTATAAATGAATAAAAAATAAATTAATTACAAAAATACTTTACATAATGGGTTAGCACACTCTACAATGGGAAAAAAAGTAATGTGTGTACCAAGAGATAAAATCAAGGATATTATGTAGGGGTATAGGTACTTCCACAAAAATATACTTATCTTCCAAGTACTAGGGGGTCAATCTTATGACCTTACTCATATCAGAAAAGTACTCAACACTGAGCAATATGTTCACCCTTTGGGTTTTTGAGACAGTGGGTCATCCTGTAGCTCAGGCTAGCTTTGAACTTGCTATATATCTCAAGATGGCTTTGAACTCCAACTCCCAAGAGCTACACTCTCTTGACTGGATTTCTGTAAAAATTTCATCCCAAATTCAATAATAAAAATTGAATAATACTTTGCATAATTAAATATTTTGACTACTAAGGAAGATGGAATTCTTTTGTTTGGGTTAAAAATTTGAAAAAAAAAACAGCTGTTTTTTCAAAGTTGATATTTCTTATCATCACTCAGGAACACTGGAGTACTTACTGTCATTTCTGCTAAGCTTTTTGTGTAAGTGAAGTCTATGCTTACATTTCATGACCTCTTTTCTCTTTAGTTATAATCTCTCACCTCATTTTTGCATACATAAATTATGAAAAAATAATTTCCTAGGGTTTATCCTTTCAAAGACATAGACACTTTGTTGATAACTGACACAAATTTCTTTGTTCTTTCTTTCTCCAACATAAATTCATTCATTCATTTCTTCCCTTATTATCTTTTCCTTTCCTCTCCCTCCCTCCCTCCCTCCCTCCATCCATCCTTCCCTTCCTTCTTTTTTTGGGGACATGCTCTTGCTATGCAATTCAGACTGGCCAACTTGTGATCTTCTTATCTCTGTCTCCCAAGAACTAGAATTATAAGCATATGACACCATGCCAGGCTTGCTATAAATTTCTTGAGCATATTACTGAAACTCACTATTTCTAAACTTTTACTATCATATTTTATCCAACTATCATTATTGTTTGTGACATACTTTTCTTGAAAAGGTTATATCTTCAGTTCAATCCTGTGTGTTCATTAATTGTTTACCCAGCTATGCAGCAGCTTTTTAAGATTCCTGGATGTATTAAAGAGAAAGCCAAGGTAAAACAAGGTAAACAAACAATACTAAATATCAGCTTCTTTTGGGCTTCCTACCTCTGGGAGGAAGCCAGTTTTGACTACAGGATCACCAAGCCCCCCCCCCCCCCTCTTGCTCTCCTTTTTTTTTTTCCATTCTCTCTTTCTTCCTTAAATTAAATATAGTCAATTATTTGCAAAGAGAACAAAACACAATGAAGGATGTATTTCATCAGTGAGTTGATAGGAGGCCTTTCTGTTTTTTAATTCATCCAAGACTATGATTATGAAATAGATGATTAAATATTAAGTCCACAAACAGGATCTTTTTTCTTTGCCTTAATACATGGCATTATCCCTGCTTCTTATCGTTCAGAGACCATTTAAAACCTAAGTAGTTTAAAATAAATATTAACTATTCGCTAGAAGAACATAAGATATCATGTTCTCTTTTACACTAGAAGAATTAAAGATTAAGAAAGCTAACAGTGACATAAGATGTTGAGACAATGTAAAGTATTTATATTTCTACAGGACACATAATTCAATGTTTTTTAAATCTATATGTACAGCTACCAGAAGAAGAAATACAGATTTCTTTAAATGGGAAAACTTTCCTAGATTTTTTTCCTTGACTCTATATTCCAGATAATTTCTTATCTTTTTTCCTGTTAGCTTCTGACTTACATCCTTGGGGTTAATTAGAACAGGTCTATCAGAAACTACTGGAACAACATGAGCTTTCATCCTACATATTCACAACATACACTAATCTAAACATTAACTGACTCCATGACACTAACCCAACATCTTTAGACTGTGAGCAGAGTATTACCACTGGTGATTTAGTTAAAAACTGTGAACTTCCTTCAGGATTTTAAAGGGCACCCTAGTGGGGATGACCATGGACACCAAATCCATTTCACTAAATTACTAAATAAAAGATACAATGAAAACCAAATAAGTATTCAAACACAAGTAGGTCTATGAGAGCTTTTAAAGGACAACTATGCACCTAGGGCCAAACATAAATGTTAAAGAGAAGACACATGACTCCCACCAGATATGTGATTTAGCACTCGATGTTATCAGAACTGGTATATTTGAGATGTAGAGGAAGAAAGTGTGTGTTTAAAAACACCGGGGCTTGCTAAATCTGGCATGCTCAGTCCTCTTAAGACGACACAATTTTCTGCATTAGTTTCAGGTGCAGAGTCTCTTAAGTTTGGATACTAGAAGAATTGTGGTATCAACAGGAGACAAAACATATATGGCAGTTATTCACAGATACCTATGTGCTTTCTTACTGGGCCTAAATTTAGTGTGAAGGTGATGAGAGCTCTCTCTGAAGGTGTGGAGGGGAATATCAATTAGATATTCTGAGGGAGAAAAACCCTGGCTGGTAAAGTTTGAATGATAATCATGGGAGTATTCATCCAGTCTCTAATCCAACTAATTATCAGCAAAAATCACATAAACAGGCAAATCTAAAATTTCATTAGAAAAGTGCTTCAAAAAACATTTTGTGTTCACACTACTAAAGTAGACTCTCCAAAATCTTAACTCCTTTTGGACGAGCTGGTTTTATGATGATGTCTGTTAGTTCTCCCCCTGAACAATTTCATTTGGATCTTCAGTGTTCATTTTTGCAGTTTTTGTTTGAATTAAGGTGATGGAGAATCCTCAGTCTGAGTAAGACGGCAATCAACCCAAACATACAAATGCATATTATTTTCAGGGATGGGCCTATAAATGTCAAGACCCAAAATAGCAGTGAAGAAGCATCATGAGGAGGAGGGGCATGCAGGGACCAACGGACCAAGGTCCAGCTCTTAGGTCCAACTCCATTATCTACTTTGTAATTTCAGGCAAGACAACTACTTTAGGGCTTTACTTTCTTCATCTGTTAAGTAAAGGGACCTGTCTAATCTGTGTTGGCAAATGCTGGAGCCAATATCCACGTGTAGCTACTAAGCACAATTTGCCTTGATGAAAACTTAGTATCTGAACTAGGATTAGTTGTAAGTGTAAAATGCACAGTGGATTTTTAATAATGTAAGAAAGGTACAATATTTATTAACAATTTTGTATATATTGGAAATTATTATATTTGGCATAGTCTAGGCTAAATACAATTTATTATATTCAATTGCACCTGTTCTTTTTAACTTTTTTTTTCCCCTGAGACACTGTCTCCCTGTAGCCCCAGCTGACCTGGAACTTGCTATATAGACCAAGCTGGCCTTGAACTCACAGAGATCTGTCTGCTTCTACCTCTCGAGTGCTAGGATTAAAAGAGTTCACCACCAGGCCCGGCCCTTTTTTTCTTTTTTTCACTTTTTAAAACTATGGTGTGTGGGATAGTATCAGTTTTCAACTTGACACACCTTGGTGCAGGGAACCTCAATTGAGGAATTTCCTCCATTGGATTGTCCTGCAGGCATATCTTTAAGGCATTTTCTTGACTATTGAGTGATGAAGGGCCCAGGCCACCGTGAGTGGTGTCACCCCTGGGCAGGTGGTTCTGTGTTGTGTAAGAAAGCAGGCTAACCACAGGCCAGGGGAGCAAGACAGTAAACAGTGTACCTCCACGGCCTGTGCTTCAGGTCCTGCTCCAGGTTCCTGCCCTGACTTCCCTCAGTGAGGGACTGTGACCTGAGAAATGTAAAATAAAATAATCCCTTTCCTTCCCAAGTCAGTTTTGGTCAGTGTTTTTATGATAGCAATTGAAAGCAAACACACAAATGGCTACTTAACAAGTGAGGATTACTGGCCGCTCT